AATACACACATTTTGACAGAGAAACAAATTAGAAACTGGTAAGTAACATTGTCAAAATCAATTTAATGAATGAGATGAGATGATCGTAGTGTTGTGTTGGCCAAAGAAAGAACAACTAAACCACAAGAATGGCACTGAATTGAACAACACCTGTTTATTTACTTTTTCTATGTATACAATACATCACCACTGTACACGTGAAGAATAAGATAAAATTATCAATTACTTTACCTTTTTTCTTCTTTAATTGAACAAGTAAGTCAGATCCTGTGACTAGTGATTATCACTAACACGCACACACACGCACACACACACACACAATCAGAAGGACATCAGTTTTAATGCTGATTGTTAACCTGGTACTGAGTCATTCCTCTTGGTAATGCTCAAAGTTATAGCTGTGAATGAACTCCGTAGTCATACTATATTATCTTATTAATATTCTCTCTTTCATGTTACTATACTCTCTCTCACACACACACACACACACATCTGTTTACTGTCAAAGTCAGCTACACATAAGTTAATTGATATCTATCAATTTACTTTTGGCAATAGATCATTTTAAAGAAAACAAGCTGAGGAGTAAAGCGGGGTATAAGGAGATAATTATATATACTATATATATATATATATATATATATATATATATATATATATATATATATACTATATATTTATACTACTTTTATCCTGGGTATTTAAGTAGTAAACCATGAGTATGTAAAACTTCCTAATTATTACTATTATTATTATCATTATTGGCACAGTGTGTTATTCTTTATGTTTTTATGGAATTTGTTGAATGGAATGAGTGAATCTTGTATATGAAAAGTCTGTTTGCTAGTTAACTTGTATTTATGATACATGAGTAATATGAATAGTGGTAAAGTAGGTGATTGGAGCGTTGAGTGACGAGACTTCGAGTCTCATACGCGACATCATTTTTCCCGAGGCTACAGATACACTTTGCTGATGAGGGCCAATCAACACAAAACTTAAACCGAATACAGCTTCTCGCCGTTTACCTGTAACCGACTAATATCAGTTAAAGTTCATTGTAAAGCCTTTTTTTCTTCCATCCTGCTAACCACACTGTAAATGATCGATAGAAGTCGGTTAGTATTCAGTACCAAACAATGAAATTGGTTACCCTCCACTTTACCAATTGGTATATAACATATGAAACTACTATTGATCAAGTATGTATCATTCTTGTTTCTTAGACAACTTAAAACGAACAATATAGTTATTGTTCTGGCTACTACTTGTTTGTGTAGCTTACTGTAAAATAACAGAAATGTATGCCATATGTCAATGGTTTAGAAGCAATTCAAAAATGTTGTTCAGTCCTGTATATCCTTCGACGATTTCTACATATTTGCATAATATAATGCTAAACAGTGATGGATATTTATTAATGATAGATGGTGGCTGGTAGTGGAATCCAGGACGCACGTTTTATAATATTCCGGACTCACCATCTGGATGTACCTGCCTCTCAGTGAGCCATTTACCAGGTAGACCACGGAGTCAAGACAGCCACTTCTTACGTGACAGGTATAGTTCTAATGTTGTTGCTTGCACTATCCCGTCATTGAGTGAACTAAATTGATCGGTCTCCTGAGCGGAGTTCTAGTGAAAATAACATCTCCTAGCCAGTGGCAGACACATCCAGCTGACGAGTAGATCCCAAATAGGGAGAAAACGTGCACTCTAGATTCCGTTACTGGCCACTATCCATTATTCATAAAAACTCCCGAAACACTGGCAACATCTAGGGGTTTGCACAGAAGCCTATATGCCAATAGGGACCGATCAATTTGGTTCACTCAACGACGAGTTAATACAAGGAACAACATTAGTAATGTTCAATTCTAAATTTCCCCCACAAATATGAGTTAGTATTTTGTTCCTAATATTCTTTGTGTTTCGAATATACTGGTACACATATAGTTACCAGCGTTTTAGTTTGTACCGTTGAAACCTTGAAGGTTTTATCAGGCTTCTCAAAGAGTGAATTGCACAACTCATGTAATAAAAGCATCACAGATCCAGTTGAAGCCGATGACCGATATATCAAAACCTTGGGATCAAAAGACAAGTTTTACGTTTAAATAAAAGCCCTACAATTGTACCATGCAGTAAAGAATAATACAATACAGTACATGAGATATCTAGATATTTGTCACATCACGAAATGCAGACTGAAATTAATCCGCGTCTCATAGAGAGACAAAATCAAAATATCTAACAGACGGAGAATGGAAAAATAACCTGTGATTGTATCCAAGTGATATAACATAAGAATTACATGGACGAAATATGGAGGACTTATCAGCAGAATGAGACAGATGAACGTTTCATGAAGTAGCCGGGAGGAAATATGAAAAGAAATGAAACAGGAACAATATGACTAAATGTACTTTCAAACAGAACTGACCACATTAATCATTTGTAGACGCCTTAATTCGTGACAATTCCTATGCGGCCATAAAAATATCGTAATGCTACTTAATAATAATGAGTAGTATAATTTAAACGGGAAAACGTTTGGATAGAAAGTACAGTCAAGCAGGTTACGCAGACGGATAGAGTGCCAGTAAAAGCAGAATATTATACTTTGGAAGTAAAACGAGACTCTTCCAACTCATGATCTTAAGAGAAAAAATATTTACATTATTTCTTATTTCTATCATGCTTTATTGATCAAAAGTGCACTGCTCGTTAAATGGCTGGTCTATTACTATTGTATTGATCCTGAAGTAAACTAAAGAAGATGCTTTAATGTTGAAGAGCTGTGAAATATTTGATACTATTAGATGATTATCACAATGAAAGGTTGAGTTACTGGTGAAAACCTATAGAAATCCACACTAGTAACGACTTGATTCGAAATAACATCTGACCATCCTCTGATACAGAAACCAATTCTCCCAGACAGTCGCAATATAGAGTTCAGTTTAGTAGGGATTTTCTATTCCAGTGAAATATGAGATACTGTTGGGTTTAAGTTCAATCAATGAATAATTATCTGACTTATTGATATATCAATGAAATCTGCCTGAAATAAAAAAAACAATGGAAAATGACACCTTAGAACTACAATTGCTAACAAATCAACTTGTGATCATCTAGGACTGACATGCGTTGGAGAACCGCTGAGAACTATGGAGATCTGGAGTTATGTTTTGTCTCAGCACGGGAACCCAACAGTGTGCACCGACGACCCAGCCAGGGTTTGAACCTGGGACCTTTAGGTCCGACCACGGCACGTTATCACTTAGACACTGGGTTGCAGTCCAACCGTGCATAGTTTCTTACTTGTGTCAGTTCACGATTGAATTACTCTACAGCTCATTGGTGACTCGTTTCGAGATGAGATTCCCGGACTTTTAATGAGAAGTCATGACCGGTGAGGCTAACCGCGTCGGATGTGAGGATAGTTACTCAACGACAGCATTGAATAGAGTCCATGCTGTATTGTGATTGACAGAAGTTGAAAATGTGAATCACTAGGTTCTAGGCCATTGGCTGAATATCAATGACCAGGCGACGAAGCCTCCAGGTCCTGGGTTCGATGCCTGGCACAATGAAGTCTTGGTTCCAGAATACTCAAGAGTCCTAAATGAGGACGAAACAGATGTCCAGTGCTCCCAGGTTTCAGTTGGTTGTCCAATTGATAATAGTTCGTGATAAATACTAACTTGATATCAAATAAATCCCTACAAACCTCAAAACTGAAATCAGCTTATATTTCGATCAAACTGATCGCTTGATCATTGTTTACAGTTCTAGCTTCTTATGAAGATGAAATAGAATCAGGTATTGGGGAGTTCATTTAAGTAATCAAGTTGGCTCAGACTTATTGAGCATTAAAAGTGCGTGCAGTTTGGGGGATTGACTTGTAGTTTACATCATAAAACTGTTTCATAGGACACTGTATTAGTTACGAATCCTTTGCAGTTACCGATCGTGAAATGGCTGTAGGTTACCATCAGCATTTACTTATCAAATGCCAATCCCTTCCCACACTAACTGAACTTTTCTGCATTCACAAGACGAATAACAAACTTAACAACAACACTGTTGTTATAACTTGTAGATTCCTATCGTTGACTAGATAGAATTTGACCAGCCAGTAATGGTATATGAGATTCTGTATAGATCCTTCGCTATTCTTGATAATTTAAATTTAGTATTAATGATGTATAATGGAGACAATATCACTCGCTGAGAAGTATGCTAAGCCGACAGGCGAATTACAAACAGGACGAAATATGTATCTAGATTTCACTACTTCCCATTATTCATCTTCAGTATTAAAAACTGTACTATTCCACTTTGACTACTGAAAAGTAGTCACTTTTTAATTCCTGATATTATTGATGGCTAGCAGTGGAATGCAAGACGTGGGTTTCGTCTTACTGGATACTCGTTAGCTGGATGTATTTACCTTCTAGTGAGTGATGTTCTCCCCACTAAGACTCCAACCGAGGATAAATCGCTTCAAACTGCAGAGCATTTTCCACTTACAACCTATAACATCAGTAACGATACTATACATTTAGCACAAGAGGTGGATATTATTACTAAGTGGCTTAGTGGATAACGCTCTGGTATTTGAAGCCATTGATCCTGGATCCAAGTCTTAGTGGGGACAATATCGATCACTAGAAGTCAGGTACATCCATATGACGAGTCGTGAATAGGATGAGATGCGTCTGTTGGAAACCATTGCTAGGTGTTATCCTTCATTACTACCAAGATTGGAAATACCAGCAATATCGAGGTATCTGTACAAGAGGCCACACACCAGTGCTAACCAACTATATCAGTCTATTCAATGACGAAGACTTACAAACCTGTATCTACGATACAAGTTTCAGATAGTATCTAGTGAAAAGTAAAATAATTTTTAGATTAGTGAAATGAAAGAAATATCTCAATGAAATTTGATTTTGTTTCTTCTTTTCTGTTTTTTTGGTCTTTTTGTTAAGGTCGACCAGTGGCATGGTTTACATTCGGTGAAAAAGTTGCACTTGCCACTTCAATTGCTTTATTCATTGTTTTAAGTACACTATTTTGTTATGTAACACGTCAACGTAGAAGAGCTAAACGGAAAGCAGATATGTCACCTGGACAACAACATGAAATTGAATTAATGCTGTAGAAAGGATTAATATCTAATCGAAAGTGATGATAACTTATTGCTATTCCCTTCTTATTATATGTACAAAAGCAACTGGAAAATTCCATCTCTTCTTTTCTTTTTATATATATGAATAATGATACAATTTTATTTGTTGTTATGAGTGAGAATATAAGTTGACTATTTTTGGTTATTTTAACTTAACTTTCATTATACAGCACTAAATCACTCAATGTACAGTCTAATATCATTTTGTATAGTTTGTATCATATGATTCCCTATTCTTTCATTTTTCTCTGTCTATCATCTATTGATCATATTTTTGTGTGCATATTTGTATGTATACATGAGAAGATAATTTATATAGCTCTTATTGGTGCTTTACCTATACTGAATCTGAATTTATTGAAATGCATTGTCTACGTATTCTGTGTTTAATATGCGGAGTAGATAGACATGAAGCCCTGCTTGATGTAGGGTTTGGTGCTTATTAGCATTCGTAAGTAAGATGGATGTGAAATTATAAAGAAACTGAAGATAACTAATTACCCAGTGATGATCAGTTCGTAGACTACACACTTTACAATCGCCAGGAAGGAAGGGAAAGTACCTGCAGATTAGAAGAAGGGCTACCTTGTCAAACTCCCGAAGAAAAGCCACTTAAGTCTTTGCAAGAACTAGTGCGGAATCATGCTCCTTTCCATCGCAAGCAAAATACTAAGCCGCATCATCCTAGAGGGACTAAAGGATGCACTGGATTCAAAACTACAGCCGAAACGGGCTGGCTATCTTCAGGAAGTACAAATCATATGCGGACCAAATTGCAACACTATGCTTCACATCATCATAGAACAGAGTATAGAATGGCAGAATGGCAACTCTTTACCTCAACTTCATCGACTTTGAAAAGGCCTTCTATCGAGGCGTCGACCGAGAAGTAATTTGGCAGGCAGTTGCTTCAACATTACGGTTTTAGTGTCACAAACCTTTATCAACCTCAGTGATGCCTTTGAGGTGAAGACAGGGGACAGGAGTAAGAAAAGGCTGTCTACCATCACCCATGATATTTCTGATTGTGGTAGACTGGATCATGCAACAAACCGTGAGGAGCCATAAGAGGGGGATACACTAGCTGGACAGCAGAAAAGAACCTAGAAGATTTGGATTTCGCCAATGATGACTTGTGTCTAGTGACTTGTGACACAAACTTGAAGATCTGCAGGCGAAAGCTAACAAGTTGACAGAAGAGGTGAGGCAGCCAAGACGGGACTTCAAGTGAACGTAGCAAAGACAGAGGTGATGAAGATACCCAACCAACAACAAGCTCCAATCAACATGAAATGGAGAAACTTAAAGGAGGTAGCCTCCTTCACCTATCTAGGCAGCACTGTTTCAACTACAGGTGGCGGCACAAACGAGGACGTCAAATCCAGCCAGGATCGGAAAAGCAAGCAAGACAGGCGTTCATTAACCTGAAACCAGTGTGGAGATCTTCTGCACTCAGCATAAAGCATGATTAACATCCGGACTTTCAACACCAATGTCAAGTCAGTACTCCTATATGGTTCAGAAACTTGGCGCGTCACGAAAGCGTTTCCAACAAACTACAGATATTCATCAACAACTGACTACACTGGCTCGATACTGAAGCTCAGATGACCAGAAAGAATAAGCAACAAGGATCTCTGGCATGGCAACGAACCGACCAAGAACCTATCGCTGGACAAATATGCACTGGAAGGAAGTGGAGATATATTGGGCATGTACTGAGAAGACCGACTGGGGACATCACGCGCCAGGCCGTCGAGTGGACCCTAGATGGGAAACGACGAGTTGGGCGTCCGAGGTAAGGGTGATATGGAAGACATGGTGTGAGGAAGAAATGAGAGCTTGTGGGCAGTCGTGGAGCCAGGTTGAAAAGATTGCAGAGAGCAGAGTGGAATGGAGACGTGCTAGTGAAGCCCTGATTTCCACTAGGAACCAAAGGGACAAGTAATAATAATAATGATGCAATATACATCAAAAGATAATTTGATAATTTACTGGGATCTGGAATTTGTAGTCATTATAGCGTTTTTAGGATAGTATCCATCAGGGACTGATAGCAGTTTGAGAACCATTGAAAATCTGGGAGTACTTAGCACCTATTTCAACCTAGTATGGGAGTCCTCAACAGTACACACCCACGATCTCACCTCGCTAGGGATGATCAAACCCAAGACCTTCAGTTTAATATTTATCTCGAACTTACGGTTCTTATTTCTAAAGTCGATTTGGACAGAAATAAGTTCAGAAAGATTTGACTACTGAATGTCTTATTATCTATCATTATCAATATCAAAATAGAACCTGCCATTACTGGATGACATTCAAAGTTGCCTACCACACACATATATCAGCACAAAAAGTAACAGAGTGGTAAAATGAATAATGAAGAAAGAAAGATTCGTCGAAAGAAGTACAAAGTAGTTAAAGGTAGAAAGGAGGAATATGAAAATGCTGAATTCAGTATAGAGGTTAAGATAAAGACAAACGGTGGGACCATATCTGTCAGCTGCCATACTTTAAACTATTCATTACCAAAGGTTCCTATGCCTTAACTTTATAGTCAATGTGAAAAATAGGTTGTTATGGTAAAAAAGCACATCTGAAATAGCCTATTTACTTTATTTATGAGTACAACTCTTGCTGTGCATAGAGTGACTGGTGTTTGTTCAAACTGTAAACAAGTGAAACACGATTTGCCTCTTGTCTATGCATTTATTCCTTGATTGATTTCAACTATTGATACTCAGAGATGGTTGAAGGTGAAATGAAAATCTTGGTTGCAGCCGGATCCTATCCAGTGGCTCCTAGGTTATTTGCCCAAAACTCCACCCACTGATCTACGAGACAGTCGCTGATCAGATCTTAATTTTACTTCATTCAGTGAGAATTTTTACACCAGTTTCGTGTGAATTCGTGATGCATTACTGTCTCTCTATTGTATTCTAGTCGAAATCAACCTGAATTAGGAAGCGGGAGTATCGGATTGATTATCTGAGATGGCCATGGCTTGGCACATCTGGCAGTCTTGATTTCAGCCTATTTATGCATTAGATTTACTGTTTTAAGCGAATTATTTCAATTATTGACAATTTCAATGATCATCAGTATGTTTTCTGGTGAATACAGATGAGACAAAAGTTGTTAATGGGATAATAGAACCCTACCAGACAACAGGTGGAGAGGATACTCAATGATTAAATTACTAGAGAGAGCTTATTAGCTGTTGGGTCTTATGTGCCCTAGTCAGTTGATATTGTGGTAGTTGAGTCCCTTCTGTGATCTTTCTGTTTCCTGTTAACTTTATTCATCACTTCTGAATAATTATTTCATGACTTGTTGTTTAGTAACCGTTTCACAGAGGTAATACAATCAGAATATTGAGCTGCGTCTGTCTACACTTCTGTTTTTGTTTCAATGGTTGTAGAGGTTCTGAAGGCATCAAAACTTAGATCTGATGTCTAAAATATTCAGATTGTATTCACTAGAGAAGAAACATTATTTCTTATTCTAATCATTACTTTTAAAACATATAAGTCATACCACATAGACGACAAGGAATGTACCAAACAAAATAGCATACAAGCATTATGAAGACTTAACAGAAAAATGCATCAAAAGAGAGAGAAACATAAAGTATAGTTGGGATACCATCAAAAAGTATCCGTTACTTTCTTTTGATCTTTCTATAACAGGAGAAACAAGAAAGCTACCGTATAGTCACTGCTGATTTCGACTCTGAGGAATATCTGATCATATCTGCAGCCATCGGATTTTATAATCTCTCTAGCCCCATTCAAAGACATATGAGATGGTGAAAAATCCAGCCCCACAACTCACACTTACAATCTTTTTCTTGTTCCGGTCAGCCCTAGAACTAGAAGATAATGAACAAAATGGAAAGTGGTGGGACAAAGTTCACAGCACATGTACGTATCATCAAAACATGTTCTTCACTAATGATTTCCATTACATCTAAACACTCACCACTATACCTCAGAATAACTCATATTGTGTTTCTAATGATCATTAGCAATCCCACGGAGATATTAGTGATCAAATAAGCAACCTAAAGAAGCTCGACTCCACAAAAATAAAGCAGAACTATTAGAATCAAGTTATTGTGCACTCAGACTTTTTGCAGCTGAAATAGAGTGCTAGTTGCATGTCAGCTACAAACTGAGTCCCACCAGTATAAAAAAAGTAGTAATCAGGAGGTCAAAGGGAAAAGTTGATTTAGAATTACGTTTTTTCAGAGTGAACTATCCTGTGAGGTGGGATTTGGTTAGCAGATGTTTTAGTATCATGCTGGCCATCGTTGTCAGTACATCGGAACTTTACTTCCTTATGAAGTTTAAGCAATCATAGTTTGTTTATGCAAAACCTAGTGAACTAGCTGACTAATAAACTGTTAGGTCTTCGGGAGAATTTTTTTAACTGATAGATAAACATTGAAAGGACAATCAACTCTTATACAAAAACGTATGATTCATTGAGAAAACCAATGGTTGGACATTTGAACTGATCATCTAACATTACTGAAGCGTTTTGTGAGGTGAAGATAGACTCTCAGCTGGTAAACAACCACTAAACATGGAAAAAATAGAATGTCTTTGCTAAATATCCTCGTTACTTACAGATATTTTGTTGAATATATCTGACACACTAAGTCTGCGTTTTCTACATAACCCAGCCGGTCATTTTAATTTGTAGCCTGAGTAGAGGTTAATAAATTCCTCGCAAATCCGGATCTTACGCTATTGACTTTTCTCCTGTCGACAATTTGATTTTACTAAATTGAATCCTATAGCCTTTTTCGAATATCTGGCTTTAAAGAGATAAGAATTAGTATAAAACTCTTTTTATTTAACTGTAAGTGAATATGTACCTCCATCTCTTAGTTTTCTGTACTAATGTAACTACTTGGTGCTTAATCAGTCAGTTATGTTTGATGCAAACGAACCATAGTTTGGGTA